TCTCACCTTCATTCTCGCACATTGTTCTCGTTCGATTAAGATCTTCATTACCTTCTAATGAACAGTAACTACTTCTAAACAACAGTAACTACTACAGATGAACAACACTTCCCTGAGTTAGCGTACACGAGCACAGTGATACGTGCTATGTTTCATGTTAGAAAAAAACACGTCTAGTCTATCGCATAATAAAACTTCTATTTATGTTGTGTATTCATCACGATACTTGCTGATTTTTACTAATAAAAAAACGTGAGTGCAGCAATCATAGATACAGGAAGCTCGCTTTTTCAACGATATCGGATAGTCTATTTGTCAAGTCAAACAAAGAACGTGACAAGTTTCATAGTCAATCTATTAAAACCAAATCCATGCAACAAAGCTTATATTTCCAGTTTCACTGAGAGAAGTAGTTGTGAAGTTGTTTCATACGTGATCATTTGATGGAACATGATGATAGAAAAAATGTGAACAGAAATCAACCACAATTACAGACATGACTAACTGTAATATGATTTCTTTAAGTATGCATGATAATATTGAGACTGAGATAGTTGAGAGGTGTTGACGTATGTAATAGCAACTTTAATCTTGGCTTCGACCGTGGTATAAAGTCGAATTCTACTTTACAATACGGAAAATAAACAAACGATGGAGAAATTCGATTGTATCTATTACATCAGTGACAATGGTGAAGAAATTCCTTATTGTCAACGTTTAGAAGGTAATGAAGATCTTAATCGAACGAGAACAATGTGCGAGAATGAAGGTGAGAAAATTTCTTTTCGTCAATTAATCGATCGACGTGTTGAACTAAGTGAAGTTCTTAACTGGAGTTCAAGTGTAGAGATAAATGATTTATATGTTCGTGTTTTCTATAATCATTCAACGGTTGAAGACAATAGCGATCAATTTGTTTGCTATTGTAAAAAATCGGGTACATTCGGCAAATATTGTGAGTATCAATTGACGCACGATGAAAGCGTTTTCAGTGACGCTCTGAACGCTCAGTTCAACACAAAACACGACAATGATTCATGGAATACTCAACGGTATGGAAAAATTATCTGCTATGAGACTCTACCTTGTAATACGAGTGATTTGTGTTTCGATTGGCGAGAGATTTGTGATGGTATTCAACGATGTACGAGTGGTATTGATGAAGAAAATTGGCATAAATTGGAATTCAACGAATGTGAAGATGATGAATTTCGATGTACAAATGGAATGTGCATCACGGAAGAATTCTGGCTTGACGGTCAGTAGTTTGATGTTCGAATCAATGTTTTCATGTGAAAATTGATCGTTTTTTACAGGTGATTTTGATTGTATGGACTGGAGCGATGAACGTTATAATATAGATAGTCCATGTTCTTTTTATCCAAATCCAATGGATTGTGATGAACATCTGTGCCATCCCAATATGTATTCATGTGGTGATGGGCAATGTATTTCATGGAAAGCTCGAATAGCATTTCAACGCATCATGCCATCAGAAGATGATTGTTTCAACAAACGTAATTTGAACTTCATGTGTGAAGTAAATCGAGACAGACAAGCATGGACACTCGAAAGTGGTTTATGTTGGCTAGATAAGAACTATAATGATTCACGTTATCCTGCATGGGACATGATCAATACTTCGAATTTGTCTGATGAAGAAAAATGTCAATACTTAGTTCGATGTCTGTTTCCATATGGTTTTGAGCGTGATTGTCCATGCAATCGAGCTAACTGTACGCAGATGCTGAGGAATGTGTGTACAGAAAATGAAAATCGCGTTGTCTATCCACCGGATGGGTTAATTAATGCTAATATCTTCTTTTACTACGAAAATAGTGATTCTACGGATAATACACATGTTAATGTTTTTGCATTTGGTGGAAATATCAAATGTCGAGGATTTCATTTCACGAGTTATGTGGATTGGGAGATACCCCCGTCTTTTCTGCCTGTAGCTGGTCCTCACGCCTCCATTTTCCTTTGTGATGATCAAAGGCTTCCTTATGGTCATCGAAATATGACATCACCATTTCAATATGATCAGTTTTGTTGGAACGAATCGTTCGCATTCAACGGTCGTCCGTATGCTGTTCATCCTGATGCTTGCCCTGTGGGAAGAGAATGTATCTCACAGTATCGAATCCATGACGGATTTGAAAATTGCTTATATAATGAAGACGAACTTGTAGCTTACGGAAACAGTTTTTGTACAGAACATGTTGGACGACATCGATTTCAGTGTTTCAAGAATGAAAGCAAATGCCTTCCGTTATTGATGTTCGGTACAGAAACGTCGGAATGTTCGAATAACTATGACGAAATGTGGTACGGTCTTGGGTTTCCTCTTGAAGAAAGTAGAGAATGTCATAAAAGTGATCATTCCGATTGTAACCGTTTAAAAGACTACATCCGACAATCATCGATTGCAAATTTTACTCAAAACAATTCACTTGTCGATATACGAACACGACGGATACCTTTCCAATCGTATTGTGATAGTTTTTGGAATTTGAACAGCCGAATGGATGAATCACCTTCTTCGTGTCAACATTGGAAATGTCAAAATCATCAATATCAATGTCAAACAGGACAATGTATTGAACTCACTTGGGTGTGTGACGGTGAATGGGATTGCGCTGATTCGTCAGATGAAGACGCTATTATACTCATCAGAAAGTGGTCTTCACATAATAATCGTCTTGTCAATCTAAACAAACAACTTGAACGGTGTCATGAGCGATATCCTGCATTGCCATTTTCAAATATTTGCAATACATCTTTTGAATTCGGCTGTTTTCTAGCAGGAGTATCGAACCCATTGGACATTAAGTCGAATCGACCGTGCATTAATCTAACCCAAATCGGGGATGGTATAGAAGACTGTTATAATTCTTAGGACGAGAAAAATATGTTGAAAAGAAATTCAAATTTATCTAGAATGTGGGGTTATCAGGCTCTGTGTGACGGAATTATTTATGATTATCAAGAGGTATGCGTAAACAAGAAGCCAACTAGCTGCTTGCAAATTCTTTGTCCCAATTATCGAGATATAACTAGAAAGTGTTTCGATCCGAAAGATGTAATTTGTCTTGAAAATAACACTTGTGTCAAGAATGGCAGATGTGATGGAAAGCGGGATTGTTTGCACGGAGACGATGAGTATTGGTGTGCTACTGGTTCACTGAATCAGATATTTTATCGTACTGATAAGGAAAATTTCAAAATCAAGAATTCAGACTTCCACTTTTCTCAACTATATCCACCAGGGCATACGTTAAAACCCGAACGGCGGCAACTATCCGATAGAATTATCGGTCCAGAAAGAATTGTGCATCCAATAGTACATTCCTACGAGTGCAATCGAGGTGTTACAATTCTTCATGGAAATGAAACTCGTTGTCATAGGTCCACCGGCATACTATGGTCGATGGTGTGAGTTTTTCAGTGATCGAATCACTATTATCGCTCACGTCAATCAAACAGCATTACTCAAAACAATGTCCAATATGACACTCAAAATCAGGACGAATTTTCTGTTCACTAATTTGAGTATCGATTCTCATGAATTTGAAGTTATTCCAACTACTGAACAAACGATGAGAACCAAACATAAATTTTATCTTCTCTATTCACATTCTGTTCACATGATTGAACACAAACGTCGACGCTATTTCAATCGAACAGATATCATCAATCATCAATCATATTCTGTTCATTTTGATGCTTTTGCTCTAGGAACAAATCAGACTATACGAGAAATTGATTCTTGGCGTTATCGAATCTACTTTGATTACTTACCATCATTTCGTTTGGCAGTTGTATTGAAATTTCCGTCTTGGTTCGAAAATAAGACATTAGAATCTTGTCAACGTGGTAGTTGTAATGAGAATTCGAGTTGTTTGCCTATTTTCAATCAAAATCAAAGTCACTATTGTTCATGTAAAAGTGGGTATTATGGAAAAGAATGTAACATTTATGAATCTCGCTGTGAGACGTACTATTCAACTGATGCATTCTGTCGACCGGATTATGATTTTGTTCGATCGAATAATACAAAAATTGATTGTATTTGTCCATTGGATCATTTCGGGCCACGTTGCCATTTAAAATATGATGATTGCAAATCGGATCCATGTTTGAATAATGGGACCTGTCTTCTTACTCATGATCGAAGTGGCGAAACATCATATATATGTACTTGTTCGGAGCGATTCTACGGAGAACGATGTGACATTGAGAAAGAAACGGTTCGTAT